AACTCAGTTGAACCATTGGGGCTGTCTGGTGATGAGGGTAGAAGCTTGTTAAAAAAACTGTAGAGGAATTTATTCTTTGTAGTCTACAGCTGTTACCATTTCAATTACAAGGGCCAAACTTGCATCCATGACAGCTTTAAAACACAGTGCAGAACCTAGTTTTCAAATTACATGATCACTTTCCACCTTTTTGTGGGAGGCTTTTGTTTCTTTCTACTTCAGTTGCTTTAGCAAGGTAAACATCTCGGCCCTGAAAAAGTAGCAGCCCAGGAAAATGAAGACTCCTGTAGCGCAAGATGGTTTTGCTGGGACAGGGGAGGATCTCAGAACAGCTCCTGTTCCATTTTGGTGGAGGTCAGACTGTTTTCAATAAGAGTGGGATTTCTAATCTCTCCTCTGCATAATGCCTTCCTCCCACCATGCTCCCCGTAGAACTACCTGTATTAAAAACTCTCTAGAGAAATTCGCATAGTACTCAATAAGAGATGGAAGAAGGCATTAGCATCCATGCTTATTTTCTTGCGAGCTTGCCAGTCAAGATCCAGAGAGGCTCTAAGGAACATGCTTTTCTTGTCATCTGCATTAAAAGAATATGTTCTCTAGGTACTCTGGAATGAGAACCTATTGCAACGTATTTTGTGTAATCAACTGAACAAGTGAGAACAACTTTCCCGAACCTTGATTTTTTTAATCTGTGGTTGAACTGAGTCACCTGTTTGTACTTCACCTCAGAACTGATTTATCTTTTCCAAAACTGGTGAAACAAGATGAATCTCATCCAAGAATAAACCTTAATATTGCCACATGGGCCCACTTCAAACTTACTTTACAAGATCTTTTTGTAAACATCCCTGAACCAAACATCCCTGAACCTGTATGTTGCTTAGTCTAATCATAGGAAAGCAGGTGTCAGGGTAGGCATTCCTCCACGTAAATTATGCTGCACAACTCTAAAGTTGATGTGCTAAAGAAAAATGATGGACAAGGAGCAGTCTATTATGTATTTGGCTAGATAGTGTGTGGTGAGGGATATAGGGCTACTCAGCAATAATCTTAAGCGTGTGTTGGCCTAATTGTTGCACAAATCATACAAATATTTTTATTAACACAGACTGTAAGGAAAACAATCAGAAAGGATAAAAAATGGCTTGAACTCAGCCAGCCCTGCAGTTAACACAGGACAATGGAAAAGTCATGGGCCTGCAGGAATCTGGTTCAGCTTCCTGCAGGGCCTACTGAACTGGTTGAGAAAATCAGAGCCAAAAGTCCAACAATCAAGAAGCACAAATGAACTCTGGCTGCATCAGCAGGACTGTCTTTTCAGTGCCAGGGAGATCTTGGGGAGCTGTTCAGGGGCACCAGACCGAGACCCATACTCTTACTACAGTGTCTGCAGAAGGGAGACCTAGCTTAGTTGCCAAAAGGGCAGAGCTTAGGATAATTTGGAGGATGGGGAAGAATTGCTCATTTTATAAATGCTTGGAAAAGGAAACAGTACTGTGATTTTGAGAATGGGGTTTGTCAATTTATGATCATATTTTTCACTTTATCCTTGAGGGAAAGTCCAAAGGCATCCATACGTGGCTAGACTTCTTGGTGAAACCTTTCCTCCTTGTACTGGAGCCCCTAGCAACTCAGGTAGAGAAGAGACCCATACTCCTGAAATCACTCCCAGGCTGGGCAAGGCTCACTGCCCAGGGTGATATCAAAATCCATCTCCCAGCAACAACCTCTGGTAGGTCTATCGACATAGAGGCCACCCTGCTAACTCCACAGCCCAGCTGGTCCCAGATTGCCCTGTTCCAACATGCCACTGGCTCATCCATACCTTTCCAGTCAATAAGAATATTAGATAGATAGCTCCTGATGTCTGATACAAACTGTTTTCTTTTGTAGGCTTTGCAGACCAGAGTCACAGTATTTGAAGGACAGAAGCATTGGTAGCTCAAACAGATGCACGGGGCAAGCATATACCACAAGGAGAAAGCATTGCCAACTTGCGCTGCAAAAAAAATGCCACCTGCTGTAGGTCGTAGTATCCTTTGTTTCCCAATAAATAAATAAACCAGCTCATTTTAATTACCTGGAAGTACATTTATCCTATTATCGTATTAACCATCTGGCATTGCAGTAGAGTAGGCGCAGGCTGGCCCAGGTCCTTCCTTCCAATTCTGGGACTGTAACAAGATGTGCTAACTTATGTCCTCCTTATGACTGTTTGAATGTCTCCTCACAGCATAGCTTTTCTGTACTGCATTTCAGGACTAGCAGTTCTTCTCTTCCAAAACCAAACCGCTTATTGAGGCGAAGTTTCATTGAGACTTCTGTGGGCATTACACATCAGTAGACAAGGGCGCAGACTTTTCTGGACAAGAAGGAGCAGTCACTGGCTCATGTATATGAGGACAAGTGACTGCTAGATTACACTTAATTGGCCATAATTCTGTTTAACCAGAAGGAAAGAAAAATGCATGATAGGGAAAACAGGCAGACCTCAAGCTAAGTATACACCAAAAAATCCAGTACAGCATGTTGAGTAAGCAAATGCCACTGGGAAGAAAATACAATACTGTAAGGTACTGGGAAGTGTCAACTAAGATTCACATTTCTTTATTTCTGCCTGCTTCAACAACTGGCTTCATGATCTCATTTTCATTTTCAGATGTAAAATACTGGGAGCTTACATCTATGATTCTTTGAATGACATTTTTCTCCCTCTCAGAAACTCAGTTAACTTCTTGTTACAGGTGACTTTATGTTTGCCTAATAGGTGACTTCTGAGCAGCACTGGCTGGTTACTTGAGAAAAGATCAAGCATAGAAAGACAGCATTTAGCTGTTTTCATCCATAAGCAAAAGGTTTGTCAACAAGCAGAAAAAAAAAAAAAAAAAAAAAAAAAAAGCAGCACCTATATCTCTCAGCAGAAAGCAAGTCTTTAAAAGCAATGCTAACTGGGGATGAACTAGCCCACAAAAGCAGTAATGTCTTCCCTTTTGTCTACAGTTCCTCATAGAAAGTGGAACTTAAAAAGCTCAGCAGGGACTTGGATGCCAAATACTTCATGCTTTGGATGCACATCTTGGGAAATACGAAAGGAGCCCGATTTTAGGGAGTTCTCTCCAAAGTCAGGCTTTGTTTTGGACATCATAAGCTACTCAGTATCACCAGACAGTTGTTGAGATGTTGGCTAGAAAGCACATCCTCCCATAAGCAGTATACACATCTTCTCAACAGGAACCCAGTCTGCTGTTTGTAATGCTTGGCATTCTAACCTCAAGTAACTGCACCAAATAATCTGCAGGACATGTCTCTGAGCATGCTTACATGGTAATAATGATGTTAAAGTAGAACATCCATATGATTTATTATGCCTTGTGAAATAAAGCAAAGCCAATCTCTTCCCACCACGGGAAGTACCATCAGAGTAGAAAATGGAAAGAAAAAAAAGGAAATGCCACCCAGTCCCAGTTCAAACATGCAAACTTTCTAATAAAATATCAGAACCAGATGCCACTAAAGATGAGTGATAATTAAAGAAGATAAATTAAAGAAATGTTTTTCCAGGGAATGACTCTACTGCACACAAATTGTTTCAGCATGGGGAAAAAATATATATAATAAAATTACTGCTGCTGTCTGTTTTCAAAAGTTTCCATTAATGAGTCAAGGCAGGTTCTCCCTGCTAAATTCCCTCATATCCAGGCTTCTCTTTGCCTCTGTTGGTTTAATCTCAGTGTGGTTTAGCAGAGCGAACAGAGCACGAAGCGCCAGGAGCTCAGTTCCAGCACTGACTCACTGTGTGGGCTCTGTTATGTCACTCTCAGGGCAGGTCAGCCCTGGAAAGCAAAGCTGTAAAAATGGTGTTGGGGGGTCCTGTGCCTGATGGTCGCTCCACTTTCCCCAGCCAATGCAAGCAGTTCTCCAGAGGTTTTCGCCTGTCTGCCAGCCCAGCAAAATGATCATGGCTAAGCTGTTGTCAGGCAACTTTTTCAGCCTGGCGTCTTCTTGGAAGAAATGAGTACTGTCAAAGCCAAAGCGTGCAGACACCTGTGCAAACTCGTAGTAGGAAACATGGCCAGAGCACTGCAGATGAAGGGTGGATACAACAGACCCTTAAGACCACCCTGGAGATTCATGCTTCTGTGTATAAACCCATCTAAGACAAGGCTTGTTGTTAAGCTTCATCTTAGCTAAACACAGGATGATGCTTAAGCCCCTGGAAGACTTTTAATTTCTTTAGATTTCTTGCACACACAGAAGTGCTGAGCCAATTGCCATAGGCATTTTCATAGCAATGAAAATAACGTACTACACAGGGAAAAAAAAAAAAAAAAGAAAAAAAAAAAGAAGAAAGTGAAACCATATAAATACATGGCCTGCTTCCCTTTTAACCACATGTTCCCCAGGCTTGTAACCTCTGTAAATGCCTACGAGGAATAATGTGGTTTGCAGTGTGCCTCTCAGGTCAACAAACCTGCCCTAAGTCAGACTGAACAAGGGCTCAGACACATGATCAGGTTCCCCTTGATTAATGAGTTTCTGTGTAGGGAGTGTTTGTGTGAGCACGCTTCACACATGCCAAATGCAAGGTGAAGTGCAGCCTCTCTAACAGGGAATCATCTGTCTGCAGGGCTCAGAGTTCAAGCACAGCCAGGCTGGAGTTAGGCTGCAGTGCTCCAGCTCGCCCAGCCAAGGTGATCCAACCATGTCTCTAGGGTTTCAAACATCAAAGCCAGGAGAGATTCATGAAGGACACTAGGCTCACAGGTGTTTTTCCTACACATCAGAGTCAAGTTTGAACAGATTTATGTAATAGTTGCTAAGGTTATTGTGGTGAAAATGGGAAAAGAAACAAACAGGGAAGGAATGCTCACCTAAATCCAAAGATCTAGGTTTGCAGGAAAGACTCCACAGGGAAGGGATCTCCAGAAAGAGATCCTTCTCCAGAGGCAGTCAGCGCTTAAACGGGTCTCCCGGTCACACAGCTGAATCACCCTCACCTGTGATCCCACGGCTGGCTCAGTCCTTTCCTCAGGTGCTCAATCAGTGGTTCAGGCTGTTACTCAACAGTTCCCATACAGCGTACACGCACACACAAAGTCAAGGGCAGGAACAGGCCTCTTCAGCATCTAAGCTCCATGCTATTGCAGATGTTTTTGCTAAAACTGAGAATTTATACTACAGTTGAGGCTCTGCAAGCTAAATCTGTCCAAAGGCCGCTCATCTATCAGTTTTCCAGGTGGTAATGCCAGCTGCTCTCTGCACTGTTTACTCCCCAGCACCTCCCAGCTGCCTCATCCTGTGAGTATTCCTCAGCAATTTGGTCAGAGGAGAACAAAGGCATGGATGACAGTAGCTAGGGCTGCTTCCAAACCCATAAAAGCCATGATCTGCTAGCCAGACTCAGAGAGAAAAGGGTAGTGTTATTCACAGCTCTCATCTTGTTCTCTTAAAAGTACTTTTATTAAGATCCTCTAACCCCTGTGGAACCTTGAACTTGAAAAGGGAAGTATTGGCTACATATCACTGGGAGTCTGGCAGTCCCTCCCATCTCTGCTCCGCTCCTGCACCCAAAGTCATGCTTATACAAGCCAGGCTTCCCCAGAGAGGTCAGATGTAGGAGCCCATGGAAGTGGAAGGGAGAAAGAAGGGATATGGAAAAGGCAGGTGGAGGAAAAGGGAAAGGAAAATAAAGAGGGGGAGAAAAAAAAAAAAGAAGAAGAACAAAAAACAAGTGAAGGGAAAAGAAAAAGGAAAAAAAAAGAGGAGACACAAATATGGGCGTGTAATTTATATATGAGGTAAAGTTTAAACCAGCGTGATTGGCAAGAATACAATGTTACTAAAAGCCACAGACATGCTAATTGGTGAGTCATTTTAAGTAAAGCCTATTGATCTTGTAAGTTTGCCAGCTTTCAATTTTCACTTTTGCTTGAAAACAGCTCAGAAAGTAGGACTCAAGCAGAAACTCATGATCAGTGACTTTTTGATCCAGTTTTTTAGAAAACATAATCTGTTTATCTATACAGAAGCCTTTGATCAAGGAAACAGATAGAGCCATCTTCTCTGTAGGCACCCAAGCCTCTCCCAGGACCTGCTAGAGGGTTAGCCATGTTCTATGTGCCTTGCTCCTGCTGCTGCAAACCAGGATATTATTACTACTGGAGATCCTCACCGCCGGCAACTAGTTTTAGGTGTATCATTAATAGCTAGCAGAGGCTCACACAGAATGACAGAATGGCTGTGGTTGGCAGGGACCTCTGGGTCCCTCTGTGCCAACCTCTGCTCAAGGAGGGACACTCAGAGCAGTGTGCTCAGGCTCATGTCCATGTGGCTCTTGGTGATCCCCAAGGAGAAGCCCTCACATCCTCTGTGGGCAGCCTGCACCAGTGACACCTTGACCATGTCACAGCTGAAGTGAACTGAAGTTGAGTGGTCAAGCTTGGTTCGATGCAGCTCCGTTTTCTGTCATTTTCATAGCCATGCACAGCACAGGAGCTCTGAGCTCTTCATCACAGTGCCCTCAGAAATGCGGCTGGCATCATCTTCTTGTGGATAGTAAGTTAATTGGTGGACTACTTGCTGTAATTTCTCTGTGAGTGAAAAAAATGTCATAACAAAGCATATAAGGGAACAACAACAAAAATAGAAAAAACTTTTATCACATCATCCCATTCTTCTTCTATTATTTGGGCTTTAAAAGGCAAATGACAGAAATGACCAAAGCAGACGCTCTGCTGTCCTCATTGCTCCTCTGACACACTTAGTCAGGAGGACCTGGTCCCCTGAAGGACACAGCGCTGGCTGCTGCACAGCCCTCAGCCACCACAATGGATGTACGGGCTGCTGCTCCCCCTGTGAGGCAGAGGCATTAAGCAGGCACAGGCTTTCCACATTCCTAAGCAAAATGTTTACTTTATAAGTGCTGAAGCAAAATTTGGAAAAGTGAAGAATAATATTTATTTTGACAAAATTAAATTGAGTTAAAGTTTAAAGTGTAAATTAGATACATGCGTATATATTGAGGGCATTATCCATTCATCAGAGGAACATAAAAGAACTGGAAAATGCCCTCCTCCACTGCCACTAGGAAAGCTGGTCTGGACTAAATTACAGGCAAAATGTATAATTAAGCAAGCTATTATTATCCAGTGTCTTAGCAGACGCTGACCTCTCTTGTGATGATTTGGATACAAACTCAGCTGAAGTTTGATTTCACAGCTGTGTCCGTCATGTTTTGGACCTGCTGGACTGCCCCAGAAACCCTCTGCATGTTAGCACTGGTGTGTAAGTGCAGTGCTTATGATTTCCTCCTTATCTGCTTGTTGGGGAGATTTCCTTTAGCTTCACTGGAAACAGAAAATGGTTTTGTTAATCTCTAAGTCAGGCCTTATATTTGAATCCTGTGTTTAATTCTTTCATAGTATCTTTAATATTGCAATAGTGCAAGGAGTGGAGGACTTCCATTGCTGTGTTATTCTCTTATTTTTTGCAGGTGTATGTTTGTGGCTTTGTTACTGAAATAATAATTCTGCTGGAAATAGCACTGGCATGAGAGATGAGCTGCCAAAGTGTTATGAGCTTGGTAATTTGTACATGGAAATGAGGATTCAGGGAATGACAAGAACATCAGTGGCCTGAGGAGTTTATGATTAAAACATGATGCTGAGCTTTTATGATTTCTACAGCTAATTAGCAAGATTTATACGCGTCTAACAGAAAACAAGGCTGAAAACAGTAATGATCCCTATTTTCCACTTGGAGCAGTAAACTACTGGGATCAAAAACAGCAAAAAAAAGGAGAGGAGGAACAAACACCCCTATCACCTAATTGTCCCTCTCTTTTCCATAGATTGAGTGAGTGCCTCTCAGGTGACAAGCAGGAAGGCTGTGACTTATTCACCTCCGTGGCAATGCCTCATTGATTTAACAGTGAAAAGACTTCCTGCTGTTTCTTTATGGCTACAGACCAACGCAGGTCTTGTTTGCCAGCAGCATGTTGGGGAAATGCGAGATGTCTGATAAAGCTCCTTCCAATATATATGTTGTTTATTCTGTTCCCTAGAGGCACAGAAGGAAAAAGAGAAAATAGAAAAGAAGAAATTTCTGGCTAGCATTCCCTACTGAGTGAACTGATCTGCTCAGCCCTCACCCATGGCTTTGCTGGGGCCTCCTTTTCCCTGCAGGGCTCCCGGCTGGAAGAATTAGTACAATCTACTCATGGTGCTGCAGTGAGCAACAGGGCTCTGTGTGACCTGTGTCCTTTACCTCAGCTCCTGGGTCTCCAGAAACCCAAGCATCCTCATGTAGTCACGTAGGGTTTTCCAGGGTGGAAAGCCCTAACCAATGTGCAAAGAAGACATGCTCCAGAAAAGTTGGTTGTGTGGAAATCTGATTGCAAGGATGAGAACTCTTGCTCAAAGTATGGATAAAAAAATATGGCATTATTGAAGATAGAGGAATTGCTCCAACGCAGACCCAACTAGAGTCAGATGGGAGGCTTTTGAACAGAGCCAGCTTACATGCATGACACAGCTGATATATCCCCAAATGCAGCTGGGTGTTTTGGGCAGGATTCCCTTGCTCTGTATTACCTCTCGTTTGAGTCTCTCTGGCTGCAGCAAGCATTGCCCTTCCTCAGCATCTGCAGCAAGTTCCTGCCCACACATAGCCAGGAGCTCAGGGACCACCAGTGGGTCCATGCTGTTCTAGCGGGGACCCTCAGGGCTCTCTGCTTATGGTATAGATGAGATATATTCTGTCTCAACGAAGAGGAAGGATCTGTCATTCCTGGGCTGACTTCAGAGGACTGTACTTCCTTTTTTGACGGTTGTAAAATTTTAAGGTACAGTATCTTCCTATGTCCATGAAAAGTACTTTACCCTACTGCATGTCACCACAATGTAATAATGAGAAATATACTGTCTTAGTGCAATAAATTGACTGCAAAAGTCGATTTATAAAGCTCCATCCAATATATTTATGCTAGAGCTGTGTCTGTTCAGGTCAAAGATACACTAATACCATTATGCCATGTTTAATAGCATACTTGCATTTTATTTTTTTTTAATGAATCACTGTCGTCACCTCCTTCAGTACTGTTTTTCCCTGTTCCTGTATGCCTAGACAGCTGGCCTAAGCTGGTAATAACAAATAATAGTTTGGCACTAATGTCAAACAGTGTCTGGCAGCTGACACACCCTTAAGTCCTGGGGTTTTCTGGTGAGAGCAGCACCGACAGTGTGTCACACACTTCCATTTCATATCCATACCCAGTCCATGTTTTGATAAAATGGAGCAGGAAAAATTGCATGGAAACATTTTGAAGAGTTTTGTGTCAAATGCTAGATAAGGTAACTTAGGCAGCAAACTTCATCTGAAGTGTCTCACAGGATTCTACTTTCTTGGCTAGAGATGCTCCACACCATGAGTGTATCACATCAGCATCTCCAGCAGCAAAGACGCAGCCAGCAAAAGCAGTATCTGTGTTTTGCCTACATCATGTACATCCAGTGTGCCCACAGCAGGGCTGCATAGGGGTGCAGAGCTCTTAAAACAGGGCTGTGGGTGAGTGGACACATGGGTAGCCATGGGTACCCCATGGCAGGTCAGGGTGCCCCTCTTACAGGTGTGCAGTGAAGGAGGGGGACAGCAGGCGGCTGGTGCTCCCATCCCAAGCATGTGTGCTCCAGATGTGCCCGGAGTGAAAGCCAGCTAGCACAGAATATTATTTATAATAATAATAATAACAATATTAATAACATAAGAACATCTGGTAGTATTTTTTTCCATCTACCACTTGGCTGAAAGCAGAGCATCTGAGTGACATGACAACTGGTATTTCTGGTTTCAATTTAGCCCCAGTCCAGCTGCCACAGTGACTCAGAGAAGCACTTCAGGGACATGTCCCAGCTCCTGGGCTCAGCCATCTCGCAGGTGCCATTGGTGCTAGCACTGGCAGCAGAATCATCTCCATCTGGGTCTGTCTGGTTTCCTTTATCCACTATTTCATAGGAGCCTGTGAGGGACTCCTAGACTTCTGTGGCTCCCAGTGCATGGTTTCAAATGGAAAACAAAGACTGGCTATTCTAACCAAAACAAAAGTGGCTGTGCTACATATTTCACCTTATTGAAAGTGTACTTGACTAAATGCATGTTTAAACCACCTTTTAAAAATTGTTTTCAATGTAATGTTAAGCCTTTCAGATGTGTCCAGTGAATGTATCACTTCTACCTAAGAAGGTTTGGGT